GCCTGCCTTCCAAAGAGGACAGTGTGGAAAGAAAAATAAAAGGAAAGCTTTAGCGTGGAGACACGGGCAAACACTGGCTCACCCAGATGATCAAGGTCAACCGCAACAGTACGTCACGCTGATGGAATGCATCCTCGATATGATGTGCTGCAAACGGCACTTCCCCCTGTAGTCTTCCTCCCCAGAACCGACAACCCAAGTCTACTCGTGAGAAAAAACTTCAGCCAGGCCCGACGGTGGGACACTCGACAAAAAAACCTGCCCGTCCTCCTCAAAACCGTCAAGGTCATTCTGACAGCAGTGAGAAGGGAGGAGGGCTGGAGGGCTGGGTGGAAAAGGTCAAGGAATTAAAGCAAAACCAAACAAAAGACAACCCTCACAGACACAGACAAGAGAATGGCGATTACCAGAGGGAAGCGGGGTGAGAGGAGGTATAGAGGGTAAAGGGGGTAAACGGTGACAGTAGGAGACTTATTGGGGCGGTGAACATACAATCCAATATACAAAAGCTGTAGTGTAGAACTGTACATCTGAAACCTACGTACTTTTATTAACCAATGTCACCCCAATAAATTCAATAAAAATACATTTAAAAATAACTGTCAAAGCCATTAAAAAACAAAACCAGCTAGAGAAACCGTCACAGCCAAGAGGAGCCATCACTGCCAAGAGGAGCCTAGGGAGACATGGAAACTAAATCATTGTAACAAACGTGCCACTGAGGGAAGATGTCAGTGGGAGCGGAGAGTGGGGGTGGGAATTCTCTGTACAATTCCCCAACCGTCCTTCCACAATTTTTCTGCAAATCTAAAACTATTCTAAAGAGAAAAAAGGTTATTTTTAAAGAAAATCACAGCCATATATGCCCTCTACTTTAATCTGGAAACTTCTCAATGTCTGTCTCTGGCTCAGAGTCCACATCACGAACCGGAGGAAGACAGTCCAATAAACAGAGCACAATTTTTCTGCAAATCTATAACTATTCTAAAGAGGAAAATGTTATTTTTAAAGAAAAGCACAGCCATATATGCCTTCTACTTTAATCTGGAAACTTCTCTATGTCTGTCTCTGGCTCAGAGTCCACGTCACGAACCGGAGGAAGACAGTCCAATAAACAGAATTCCTGAAAATACACCACCATTTGCCTCCTGCCTGCACAGTTTATTTTGCTTTCTTCCAGCTATCTACTTGTGTAGGGACTGTTCCATCTGATAACTATAAAATTCAAAGCTTGTCACGAACAAAGAAGTGAAATGTTTGAAAAACCAAAAAG